ACAGCGTTTTTGGCCATTTTCGAAAAATTATAGAGCTGAACCCTGACGTGGTACAAATTTTGCATATATCAGAAATTAAAGGCTAAACCGTGCCCTTTCGAATGAGCCCTATGCCGAATTGATCGCGTGCACCCTTAAAGCAGGGGGTGTATTTGTGTTTAGGGGTGCAGGAAAAATTGATCACAGAAAGAATTTAATCTTAAACGATCATAGAAAATTAATAATGCCAAGGTTTTAACTATATTAAAAGTCGCTGATTACGAATCTGCAGTTAGATTTTAAAAATTTAAGAAATTTATATGGTCGTTTAAGATGAAATTCTTTCTGCGATCAATTTTCCCTGGACTCCTAGACACAAATACACCCCCTGATCTAAGGGTGCATGCGATTAATTCGGCATAGGGCTCATTCGAAAGGGCACGATTTAGCCTTTAATTTCTGACATATACAAAGTTTGTAGCACGTCAGGGTTCAGCTCTACAATTTTTTGGAAAATGGCCAAAAACGCTGTTTTTAGGGGTTTCAACCCCTTTTTTCTCGAAAACGTGACGTGATGGGACATTTTTGACCCCGGATTCGTGTTCAGCACGAAAAATCCGTTCGGAAACACCAGGTCCCGTCTTATTCGCAAAACCCTTGTAGACCAGTGTAATCAATTGAGGATATAGTTTTGTTGTCTATGTAAAAATATTTTCTGTTCTCTTAAAAATTCATATCTTTAATAAACTGGTTATTGTTTAATTTGCTTTGCACAAACTGCGGCTCTGTTAATTATTTCAATAGGTTATGGGCCCAGAGTCCGCACGTGCAAAAGCAATAAGCCAGTAAAAGTTAGCTTGTGTTTTTCGGAGCATATTCAAGTTTGAACGAATTGCTTGTGATATAATGGCGACATTGGCTGGCCGGATCCCGCTGTTAAACGGGACGAATTACGCAACATGGAAGCCTCAAATGGAGGCAATTCTTCACAAGAACAGATTGTTGAAGATGGTGCGTGGCGAAGAGCAAAGACCTGCCGTAGAATGTGTTTCGGAGTCGGCGACGGCAGAGCAACAAGCAACTCTGGCGAAACAGAAGCAATTGCAAGCAGAACATGATGACAAGGATATGGATGCCAAAGCTGAATTAATCATTGCACTGGATGCAAGTATCATTAGAATGGTTAAAAATTTTAAAACTTCAAATGAGGTATGGTTATACTTACAAGATACTTATGAGCGGAAGTCGACGCGTCGCAAGGCGGAAGCTTATCGTAAGTTGCTGAGTTTGAATATGGAGAATCATTTGACGATTACGCAGTATCTTATAGAATTTGATATATGTGTTTCATTTCTAAATGAAATGAATGTCAATTTGGATGAAGATTTTCTAACAGTTATTTTAATAGATGGTCTATCGGATGCTTATAAAGAGATAAGGGCTGCATTTAATACTGCTAACGAGTTTCCTTCTCTCAGAACTTTACGATCAAGACTCCACGAAATCGGTGAGAAATCTGAACATAATGCAAGTGATCAAGATAACGCGCTAAAGGTGAACAAGTTCAAGAAACAAGGTAACAAGTTTAAGACCAGTAATCAAGGCAACTTGATTTTCCCAATCGATTTTTATAAATGTGTTAAAAAGGGCCATATGGCGAAAAATTGCAAATTTGTAAAAAGAGAGCAAACTAATTTTACAGAAAAGTCAGCAAGTTTTATAGTTACCTCAGAATATTGCAAAAGAGGAAGTTATAATGAAGTTTCTAAAGAAAAGGTGAATACCTGGTGTGTGGATAGTGGTGCTACATCACACATGAGTTTCTCGCTATCACAATTTGTTAAAATTGATGAAAGCCATACTGGAAAAATATACTTAGCTAATGAAAAAGAATTAAAAGTCAGAGGAATTGGTACAGTTGAAATTAATGTCAAAGTAAATGAGAAATATAAAAAGATACATCTATTCAAAACCTTATACGTACCAGATTTGAAATGCAATCTTATATCAACTGGTAAAGCTACCGAAAATGGTTGTCAAGTAATAAGGTTAAAATGAAAAGCATTGATAATGAAGGGTGGTTGTACATTGGTTGAAGCTTATAAAGAAAATGGCCTATATTTGGTAAGATCCAAGAAATCTATGAATGAAAAATGCAAAGTAGTAGATTGTGCTCTTACTGAACTAGAAACATGGCACAAAAGATTTGATCACTTAAATACAGTACATTTGCATAAACTTGAGACTAAAGGCATGGTTCTGGGACTACCAAAGTTGAGTTATCAAAAGCTAAACTGCATCGGTTGTATTCGAGGAAAGCAGACGCAAGTCCCATTTCGACATAAGAATGAAAAATCTACTACTGGAATATTGGATTTGATACACACTGATATGTGCGGGCCGATGAGGGTTAAATCGTTAAGTCATAAAATATATTTTGTAGTTTTTATTGACGATTTCACCCGCAAGGTATTTGTGCGTTTTTTAAGCAAGAAGAGTGAATACTTACAAATTTTCAAAGATTTTAAAAAGCAAGTTGAGTTGGAAACTGGCAGGAAGATTAAGTCAGTCCGTTCTGATAATGCATCTGAACTTATAAGTCATGTGGCATTAAGCGCCAGCTTACAGTTGAATACACACCGCAGCAAAACGGAGTCGCAGAGAGAATGAACAGAACGCTTGTAGAGATGGCAAGATGTATGATGATCGAGGGAAATTTGCCACAAATATTGTGGGCTGAACTTATTCACACGGCGGCGTATATAAGAAATCGTTGTCCAACTAATTTAAATTTTGATAAAACGCCTGAAGAGATGTGGACTGGTAAAAAACCAGCAGTGAAGCATTTACGTCAGATTGGAAGCAAAGCATTTGTACTAGATAAAAAATCAGGAAAAGGCAAATGGGGTGCTAGAAGCTATGAATATATACTAGTTGGATACTCTAATGAATCCAAAGCATATCGTTTGTGGGAGCGTGGTACTCGAAGTATAGTCAAAAGTCGTGATGTTAGATTTATAGAAGAAGCTTCGGATGTAGGAATGGAAGAATTCCAAAACGAAAATAATGGTTTTTATGAATTCGAATTCGAAAAAAACAACAAAAATATACAAAGGAAGAGAAAGTTCAAAAGGAAACTGAAGAGGATGAGAATGAAGAAATATCGGAAGAAGAAGAAATTTATCTTGACAGTACAGCAGACATGATCGAATCTCAACCTTTACCGGAGAAAGATGGCAGACAAGTTAGTTCGATCAAGCAAAGACTAGAAGACGAATATAACTCCCTAATTAAAAATAAGACGTGGGAATTAGTAAACTTGCCTGAAGGAAGGACGACTGTTGGTTGCAGGTGGATTTTCAAAACGAAGCGCAGACCAGATGGTTCAGTAGAAAATCTAAAGCTAGGCTTGTCGCAAAAGGATATTCACAAGAATATGGAATAGACTATTCTGATACATTTGCCCCCGTTGTCAGACAAAGTTCTCTTCGACTAATTTATGCATTAACCGTAGAAAATGATTGGGAATTGCGGCAATTAAATGTTTCGACTGCTTTTCTTAATGGTGATTTGGAGGAAGACATATATATGGAACAACCGGAAGGTTTTGTTGAGGAGGCGAGTGGGGGCAAAGTATGCAAACTCAAAAAGGCTATTTATGGTCTAAAGCAAGCCGGTCGTCAATGGTTCAAGAAAATTAGAATATTTTTAAAGGATTTTGGTCGGATACAGTCACATTATGGTCAATGCCTTTTTTACTCAATGATTGGAAAAGTTTCTTTCATTGTAGCACTGTATGTAGATGATATTATAATTGCATCGAGCTCCAAAGATAAAACCGAAAAGTTTGTAACGGAATTGCAACGAAATTTTGAGGTTCGTGATATGAAGGTGCCAAAACATTGCATTGGTCTAGAAATAGACATCCAGCCAGGATCTATTTCCATATCACAGCCAGGATATATTAAGAATTTAGTCAGTAAGTATGGCATGGAGAATGCGAAAACTGCGAACATACCGATGCAATCTAAAATCAGATTAGAAAAAGAACCAACAATTTCAGGAGAAGGCGTGAAGATAAATCGAAAAACATATCAAGAAATAGTTGGCTCTTTATTGCATCTAGCTGTTTTCAGTCGACCTGACATAAGTTGCAGCGTAAATATGCTGTCACAATTTTGCCAGGATCCGAGGAAGCAGCATTGGAATGCAGCAATGCAGTTAATTAAATATTTAAATTCTACGAAAGATTTTGTTTTAACATTTCGAAAAACGGGGTTACCACTTGTTGGTTTTGTTGATGCTAATTGGGCTCAAGATACTAATGACAGGAGGTCTCAATCAGGTTTTTGTTTTATACTCTCAGGTGCTGTTATATCATGGGAATCAAGAAAGCAACGTGTGGTAGCAACATCAAGCGCTGAAGCGGAATATATGTCATTAACGGAAGCTGCAAAAGAGGAATGTTATTTTGCATATTTATTGGAAGAACTTGGATTCAAATCTTCCAGTCCAACTATCATCTACTGTGACTCACAAAGTGCACAATGCATGGCCATGACAGGTGGACATTATTCCCGAACAAAGCATATTCATTATCGACATCATTTCATTCGAGACGCTATTGAAAGTGGTATAGTTCAGATTAAATATCTTCGAACCGATGAGATGCCAGCAGATCTACTTACAAAGCCGTTGGCTAAAATCAAGCATAATTTTTGCACAACATCCATGGGTGTCGTAAAATCAAATAAATGTTGTTGAGGAGGCGTATTGAATATCAACAGAATTTAGATTGTACTTGTTGTTTATATACTTGTATGTTCAGAATTATTAATAATCAATTGAGGATATAGTTTTGTTGTCCATGTGAAAATATTTTCTGTTCTCTTAAAAATTCATATCTTGAATAAACTGGTTATTGTTTAATTTGCTTTGCACAAACTGCGGCTCTGTTAATTATTTCAATAGATCTTTGTACGAAGAGAGAGGACTTTACTTATCAATTGCCTACTCAGCCCAAAGTAGCACTTGTTGGCAAGAGTGATTCTCCGTTGGATTTCAAGGCTGACATTATTATTGGTGTTAATGCTGGTTCCCAAGTAAATGAAGTCGTCTACTTTTTCAAGCTTGTAACTGTCAACAGTGACGTGGGTGCCAAGACGCGTATGCTCTGACTGTTTGTGTGATGACAGGAGATACTTCGTTTTGCCTCGTTCACCACCAAACCCATTCGCTTTGCTTCTCTATCCAATCACGAGAAGGCAGAACAGACGTAGCCTTTGTTTTTACCAATAATATCGATGTCGTCGGCATACGCCTGCAATTGTACACTCTTGTAAAGTATTGTGCCTGAGCGGTTCAGTTCTGCGGCTCTTATTATCTTCTCCAACATCAGATTAAAGAAATCTCATGAAGGGGAGTCCCCTTGTCTGAAACCTCGTTTGGTATCAAACGGCCCGGAGAGGTCCTTCCCTATTCTGACGGAGCTGGTGGTATTGCTCAACGTCATTTGACACAGCCGTATTAGTTTCGCGGGATACCAAATTCAGATATCGCGGCATAAAGGCAACTTCTCTTCGTGCTGTCGAAAGCGGCTTTGAAATCGACAAATAGATGGTGTGTGTCGATCCTATTCTCGCGGGTCTTTTCCAAGATTTGACGTTTTGTGAATACCTGATCTATGGTGGATTTTCCAGGCCTAAAGCCACACTGATAAGGTCCAATCAGTTCGTTGACGGTGGGCTTCAGTCTTTCGCACAATACACTTGATAAGACCTTATAACCTATGCACATAAGGCTGATTCCGCGGTAGTTGGCGCGTATGGCAGGGTCGCCTTTCTTGTGGATTGGGCAGAGCACACTTAAATTCCAGTCGTCGGGCATGCGTTCATCTGACCATATTCTGCATACGGGCTGATGCATGCAACTCATCAGCTTCTCGCCGCCGTACTTGAATAGCTCGGCTGGCAGGCCGTCAACTCCAGCAGCTTTGTTGTTTTACAGCCGCGTAATCGCTATTCGTACCTCGTCATATTCAGGCGGTGGGACAGCTACTCCATCATCATCGACTGGGGACTCTGGTTCGTCTTCTTCACTACTTTCAGCGCTGCTGCCATTCAGTAGGTTGTAAAAGTGTTCCCTCCCCAATTTAAGTATATTCTGGACATCGGTAACTAGGTCGCCATTGTTGTTCTTACAGGAATTCGCCCCGGTATTGAAAACTTCCGTAAGTCGCCTAACCCGCTGGTAGAATTTTCGGGCGTTCTTCCTGTCGGCCAGCATCTCAAACTCTTCGCACTCACGTATTTCGACCTCTCTCTTCTTATTGCGGCAAATACGTCTCGCTTCCTTCTTCAGTTCCCTATAACGGTCCCACATGGCTCGCGTTGCGCCCGATCGCAGCGTGGCCCTATAGACGCCGTCTTTTTTCTCTGCGGCTTCTTGACATTCCTCATCGTACCAGTTGTTCTTTCGGGCTCGCTGAAATCCAACTACTTCTTCGGCGGCGGTACTTAATGATCGGGAAATGTGGTTCCACTGCTCGCGTATGTCGGATTGTTGAAAAGTGCTCTCAGAGAGCAGGTGTGCGAATCGAGTGGCGAATAAATTGGCCGTCTGTTGTGAAAGCAGCTTTTCGATGTTAAGCTTTCCTTGCATTGTTGGGCGCACATTTTTTTCTGCAGAGAAACGGATGCGTATCTTGGCTACAACAAGATAGTGGTCCAAGTCGATGTTTGGCCCTCGGAGTGTACGTGCGTCTAAAACGCTTGAAGCATGCCTTCCATCTATCACAACACGATCGATTTGGTTTCTCATTTTTCAATCTGGAGACAGCCATGTAGCTTGGTGGATGTTCTTATGCTGGAACCTAGTACTACAGTGGCGCCAAACATCCCTTCCTTGCTCATCTTGGCCTTAAAATCGCCAAGCACGATTTGGACATCGTGTCGGGGGCAGCGCTCATATGTACGCTCCAAGCGTTCATAGAAGAGATTGGTGGACGCCTCGTCCTTCTCATCCGTCGGGGCATGGGCGCAGATGAGCGAGATGTTGAAGAATCTCGCTTTGAAGCAGATTGTGGCTAAACGCTCGTCCACCTGGGTGAACGCCAGTACTCGGCGACGGAGTCTCCCTCCTACCACGAATCCAACACCGAATTTGCACTCCTTTACGTGGAAACTGTAGTAGACGTCGCAAGGCTTCACACTTGCTTTTACTTGCCCCGTCCATCGCATTTCTTGGATGGCGGTGATGTCGGCCTTTGTCTTCCCGACCAACCAGCCGGGCAGAGGAACCTTCCCCATTAAGGGTCCGGATATTCCAGGTGCATACCCTTAAATCATAGTCCTTTATACGTTTGCCGTGGTCGTCATCAGAAAAAGGGGGTCGCATCCGAGGCTGTTTGTTCTTTTTCATTGGGCGGGGTTTTAACGTGGCGGGAAGTTTTACGCCTTCTCACCTTAGCTCGCTCCCAAACGGCTGTTTGGTTGCTACCCAGAGGATACGTGGATATAAATATCCGGACGTTGTGAGCTGCGATTTGAACCGTATGCACAAGGATCGCTTCTGGCGACTCCCAGGTGAATGGCAGTCAAAGGTTTTCCACTTCTGCGCACGGAACCATCCTCCACTGCACATAAATTGAGTGTAAGTAACGTGTTAATTTAGTGGAAAGTGAATTAAATATTGTGAAATAGTGCCAAACATGTTTGTTAAATTTACAAACTTTAACAACAAATTACTTAAAAACTGTATGGTTCCGCGCTTTGAAACTTTACATACACAATTATACAATAATAATACAAGGTTGAATAACCTGGCAGTTGTCTCGCTATCGCATTCTGCCTTAGTCTGTGTTGCTTTCTTTTTTGATTTATAGAAAGTACCACTGCAGGCTTTGGGTTGGTAAAGTGTAACCTTTGCAGATTTACATAAAGTATACCACCCCATAAAAGCGAAAGTGCAAATATTAATAAAGATATTTTCTTTTGCAGGTCAGGAGCATTTGTGTGTCCGTCAACATTCGCTGGGGCAGGGATTTTTACCACTGCAGCCTTTGCATACTTAAAAAAAAAAACAAATGTAATTAAATTAGGAATATAATGACTAACAAGACTGATTAGAGAAAATAGTTGAAAACAGTACCATCAATTTTCATTTTTTTAAAACCAAATGTAACTAAATTACGATATTGAAGACATATTTTTAAAGTGTAACCAAAATAATGACTAACAAGACTGATTAGAGAAAAAAGTAAAAACCATTGCAAAAAAATACATTTTTAAAAGACCAAATGTAATTAGATTACGATATTGAAGATCTAACTTTTGAATGTAACTAATATAATGATTAGCACGACTGATTGGAGAACATAGGAGAAAAAATAGTAGAAAACTTATTGTGGAAAGCAATAACAATTTTAAAAAATCGTAGAAATGATAGCTATTTCGGAAATCACCACATTTCCTCATCAGACTTCTTTCAGTAGTATTCGAACCGACGATCCCACTGACTCAGCCAGTTGCCTACGCACTGTGCTAAGTTCGCCTTGTGAGTTCTTGTTGCTTTTCCACCATTTTATTTGTTAAGCCAACTACAATCAAGCACAGCTATTCAGTGGGATCATCGGTTCGAATCTTACTGAAAGAAGTCTGATGAGGAAATGTGGTGATTTCCGAAATAGCTATCACTTCTACCATATTTTCAAATTATGGTTGCTTTTCCACAATAAGTTTTTCATTAAAAACGGCCTCAAGCCCAATAAAAATTGTTTAATATAATTGTTATACGGCCATAAAAAAAAAAAAACAAATAACTTATGGACGAACACACCTAAAAGTTAAACATTCTAATGATAGAATTATTAACAAAAACCAACAAAACCAACAACCACATGATCAAGTTTAAATAGCACTGGAATAGCTGCGATTGATTGTAGTTGGCTTAACAAATTAAATAGTGCAAAAAAGCAACAACAATTCACAAGGTGAACTTAGCACAGTACGTAGGCAACTGGCTGAGTCAGTGCGATCGTCGGTTCGAATCCTACTGAAGGAAGTCTGATGAGGAAATGTGGTGATTTCCGAAATAGCTATAACTTCTACCATTTTTTCAAATTATTATTGCTTTTCCACAATAAGTTTTTCATTAAAAAC